TTGGGCGGCAATTGTTAGAGATGGGTTTACGGTGGCAGATTGGAAATGGTCGTTCGGCGTCCATGCTTTTCTCTACTTGGGTTCCCTAAAACCAGCTTGAGCCTCTCCGGTATAACCCGCGGGTTCTGCCAACCGGGGGGGACCCCATGGTGTTAGAGCTAATTTGTCCAGGGGAGGGGCTCTGGTGTGACCACGAACTTAGCCAATGGTTTGACCCTGCCACTTGTCGCAATATTAAGGCTATTCCTCTTCCGAGGGCTAATGTGGAGGATAGGATCATTTGGCATGATACGGCTGATGGTGTTGTTTCGGTGAAATCTGCGTATCACTTGGCTGTCACCCTGGACAGGAAAAGGGGCCAGTGGAGAGCTACTGTAGATTGGATGGATCGGACCAGCTGGATCCGACTATGGGAGGCAAACATTCCGTCGAAATTGAAGGTGTTTGTTTGGCAAATTTTCCGTCAAATCCTCCCCACAACCGAGGCTTTGATTGAAAGAAAGATTCAGGTCCATCCTCGCTGCCCGGTTTGCTGGGAGGGCACGGAGACTATGGAACATCTATTCCTAGATTTCCCGGTTGCCCAAGCGCTCTGGGGGGCAGCTGGGTTGGAGCATATCGGGGAGGGGTGGCCTCGTCACACATTCCCATTGTTTCTAAAAAGGGTAATGGCGCTCGTTCATCAGCCTGCTCTGTTTATGGCCATTGTGGCTGTCCTCTGGCGTATCTGGCGGTCGCGCAATTGGTTGGCCTTTGAAGGTAAATAGTATACGGTTGATGCTTTAGTGTGTCAGTTCTTGCAGCAGTATGAGGAATGGGTGCGCCTCCCGATGGATAAGCCTGTCCGGGCTCATGCTGCCGCCGAGGTCCATCAAGCAGCTCAGGTAGGGTCACCAGCGGTTATTTGTGGATGGGATGGGGCTACCAGTAGGGGGTCGCATTCAGCTGGAGGAGTAGAGCTTATGACCCCGAATCGTGACATCCTGATGGCCACTGGTATGCAGTTCCCAGTCATTGATGATCCTCTCGTGGTAGAATTGCTTGTCCTCCGTGAGGCGGTCCTTTGGTGCCTGAGCCACGGATTCTCAAGCATCAGGTTTGAAGGGGACGCCAAGGTGGTCATCGATAAGCTCCAGGAGGCTGATACTAGGGATAGCAGGTCAGGAGCTGTGCTAGTAGAAGTGATATATTATTTTGCCTGCAATCTGGGGTTTAGTGTTTGGTTTATAGGTCGGGGGAACAATAGGGTAGCCCATTTGGTGGCTCGAAAGGCCCTTTCTTTGTACCCGACTATGAGTTGGTCTTTTGATTTTCAGGCCTGGCTGTTCTCCAGGGTGTAACTATCTATCTTTTCTGATTAATTCAAGATTATCTTTCGTCAAAAAAAAAAAAAAAGACGGGACACTTTAAGAAAGTCATATATGGGTTCGTTTGTTCATGAATTTAAAAATGAGATTTTTGTGATTTAAAAACCCAAGGATTTGAGGCATTATGAATTTGAAACAATTGTTTGTTTGTTGAGATGTTTTGATCATGGTTTAAGGGTTTGGGATTTAGAACTTAAAATCCAAAATTACATCACTATCATTTTCTAATTGTTTGTCATATTGATCATATGTACTCAAACAAGAACAATACATACTAAAAAGTATAATGTCGTCACAAGTACAATATAGTAAACAAGGAAATTCCATTTAACTTTAACGTAACATATATTAGTTACCAATTCCTTGTCTTCCATTTCAATAGTAACATATAACAACATATATTGGAATCGGGAGAACAAAAAATTTCACGTTCCATGAAAAGGTCAAAGAAAACTATAACACAAGAAAGGACATTGAAAATCTAACTGATGTTTGCACATTAATTGAATATTTATATTATTGTTTTGTAGTTAATTAATTGATTAATTATAATGTAAAATAGTAGGGTGAAAATTATCACTGGTCACTGTACTTGCACTATTAATTCAAGTTTACCAATGAACTCGTTTTTAATTCAACTAAACCACCAAACTTGATATAAAAGTTCACCATCCATCACTTTCATTCCAACCTCACGGATTCCTTGTTAACGGTGCTGACAAAGCGTTAATGTTGTTGACATCGCACCTCCAAGCTATCGAACAGCTCATTAATCTGCCATGTCATCGAGACCTTTGGATGACAGCGAGCCCACTGAAAGGAGGCTGACAATTTAACCAATTGAGCTACATCGTCTTTGACAACATTTCTTTAAATTTTAACTATTATTCTTGTTTCACCTAGTATAGAAAGATTTTTTCCCAACGTATTTTGCTTTTCTAATTTGATAGGGACCTGTTTAGTGGAGCACAATTCTTCTTTTCTTTAATCAATCAGAGGGGGGAAAATAAATAAAATGAACCATACAATATTATGCAGTCACTCATTCATAATATAAGTCAAATCTGTCAAAGAAATCATAAGTCAACGCTGTAGCTCAATTGGTTAAATTGTCAACATCCTTTCAGTGGGCTCTTTGTCACCCAATGGTCTCGGGTTCAAGACCAACTCCCAGCAATAATTGTTAATTTTTATCTTAGCTTAAACTTGGGAGTTACAAGACATATTAATGAGTTGTTCGACGGTTTGGAGGTGTCAGCAACGTTAATGCATTGTCGGCACCCTTAACAAGGAATCCGTGAGGTTGGAACGAAATTTGGGAGTTACATGAAAGAGTAATGAGTTGTTCGACAGTTTGGAGCTGCCATGTCAGCAACGTTAACCAAGGTTCAAAAAAGCGCTAGGATCCTGACTTGCGCCTTGCCCGCTTAGGCGTACCTAGGCATTCGAAGCTAAAATGGAAAAATTCTCACAATTTTCAATTTGTTAGAATAACTTCATATAATCCCAACTTTCTAGATTAACTTCTCACAATTTTCAATTTTTTGGAATAACTTCACGAGATCGGCAAGCTATTTCATTCAGTCATTCCCACTAACTGTAACTTTCATTTCTAATTCCAAGTCTCTGCATCAACGGTTGAATGAAAACTATTAGTTGAGAACATAAGAAGCAAAAATCTTGTAGAAGTAAACGAATCGATAGAAAAAGTATACGACCGACAGATGAAGCAACAACAGCCGTGGTTGCAGAGTAAGAAGAGAAATTGGATCTGAAGAGGGAAAAAGAAGCGTCAGCACAGGGGGCCTTGACTGGGAGACCTAGTAGAATAGAAATAAACAAATTCAATGACGTTTGTACGAGATGAGAAGGAAACCATGTTCAGATAAACGCCTAAAAAAATAAAAACTAACAAACAAAACCCAATTTTCTAGAGTCAGAAAGAACCACACACGCGAGACCCTTCCATCCCATTTCCCACCTTCAACGAAAGCCAATTGGCAGTAGCCATGAAATTTACCAAGCAGCCATAAAATTATAATAATTTTATCCAAGGCTTAAATCTCCAATTTCTTCCTACGATTCAATCACAGAGGGAAAATGAGTTCTTTTATTGGAGAAAGCTATCTATCTCATGTCTTTTGTCTAGCCATGGCGACCGATTTGCTAAAATCGATACAATACAATCCATAGCATTTGACGAGCAGCAATATAGAGAACAGAACAAATTGAGCACTATAAATAATATAAGCAATTACAGAAGCGAGCGACCAGCTTCTCTCTATGGTGGCCGAGCAACAATTTTCTCCCGGCCGTGGACGAGCGAAGAGAAAGAAGGGAGGAGTAGTAGTTGCGAAAAAGGAGTTGTTGGTTCTAACCTAGACTGGCAGGATGGAGGGCAAAAACTCATCGTCCTTGGATTTGATGGCCCTCGCCGACCACCGCTTCAATCGCCTACGCCCACTTCATCGCCAATTAGGCTTCGCTTAGTCACTATTCCGACCATTCATGCGCATCTAACGCTTTAATTAGCGCCTACGGCCAAGTCTTGACGTTCTTTCAACACCCCATGCCTAATTAAGCCTAGGCGTGCGCCTAATGGCACTTTTTTGAACGTTGACGTTAATGCTTTGTCAGCACCCTCAACAAGGCATCCGTGAGGTTGGAACGAAATTGATGGATGGTGAACTTTTATATCAATTTTAGTGGTTTAGTTGAATTAAAAATGAGTTCAGTAGTAAACTTGAATTAATAGAGCAAGTAAAGTGACCAGTGATACTTTTCACCCTATAATAGTACTTAAAGGTGAGGGCATTCTTGGGATATTAAAATTTAATGATGGTATATGGGTAAAATATCATCATGAATTTGTGCAATGTTCCAAATCCCACATCAATCTTAGGCATTTACAAGTCCGTGGAGTCAGCAGATATGGAGCCTTAAAATTTGTGGGCCCCACGAATTTGGTTCATAAAAAACACAAACAAACGATGAATTTTCCTTAAATACATGATGGATTGGATTTGGGTACAAAATTCATTATCCAAATCCAAGAAGCAAACCAAATCATAATTACTTTAATGACTACACATACCTCTTGCTCGAACAACTTGGGACCTGTTGACGAAGTCATGAAATTGGTGGGCCTATACGCTATGGGAAAAGGGACCGAAGCCGCTCTGGTGAATGCTTGTGTTCTTGTGATGGAAAAATTTTATGATTATTATTTAATTGTCGGTTTATTGTCGGTTTATTATTCGGATTATTATGTTGGTCCATTATTTGGGAGGGAGTCTTATGATTAGGTTATTATTTCGGGGAGTAAAGGGGAATAATTGTCGATTAGTATAAGTACCGGTGTAAGTGAGGATTAGGGCTAAGCTTAGTAAGATTATCAAACCATAATCCTCTCTCTCTTCCTTCTTCCCTGGCCGATCTCTCCCTCTCTCTCTACAGGCTTCTGCCGAACCCTCTCTTCCTTTCTCTACCTATTCGTTCGAAACCCTAAATCCCCAAATCAATCCCTAATTGATCTAATCTCATTCCCAAATCCCCCGCAATAATCTCACCCTAGATCCTGGGGTCTATCAACTTGGTATCAGAGCCACAGTGGGGTGCGAAGGACGATCAACCATGACTACCACACGCGCACAGGAGGAGAACAACGGCGGCGACAAGGGTACTGCGTCGACCGCTGCGCAGAAGCCAGGCAATCGGGCCGCAATGGCAACGGCGGCGAAGGGAACCAAGACGGCGCAGGGCATGGAGAAGCAGTCGCGCGATGGACACTGCGCCGAAGAGCCTGACTGGGCCGAGGTTCGGGAAGAGTTGTTCAAGGTCTCCCGGATGAAAGGGAACCTTGAAGACGGACTGCAAGAGGTCACCCGATCCATTCGCCAGGTCGCGGACAGCGGGAGATCATCTGCGGACAAGGCTAACACCAACGCTGATCGGATGGTGTTGCTGATCGAGAAGGTACTGATGTAGTTATCCGGGGGTCTATCTCTCGGAGGTAACGCGGAGATCGGTCGGGGAGGGGAGCTTCCGATCAAGGCTGAACCGAAGGAGGACGAGACGGAGGTGGCCCCAGGAGCGGCCGTGCAGGAGGCTGCGCTAGAAGGGGAATCGGCCGGGGGGCTTTCGCAACCCGGCCAGCCGAGACGGTGAACCGCACGGCGACGGTTGCACGGGAGCCGAAGTAGGGAGACGGGCTTCTACCGCTGGCGTCTAAGCAAGAGGTCGCGGCGTCTCGGAAGGGGAAGTCGAAGATGGCTGGGTATGACAACGTCATTCACAACGTGACGTTTGGTCGGGCCGTGATGAGACACGAGGAGGATGAAGAGCGAAGTCTGATGGGACAGGGCAGGACTAGTGCATGGGCTGATCGACGGGTGATGGGGGATCAGTCGGACCAAGCAGGGTCGGGAGGTCATGGCTCAACCGCTTTTCCGAGCAGAGCTGATTTCGGGCCTACTCCTAGCCGAGCCGATTTCGGGCATGGGGATGGGCATGCTGGTCGTGACAAGGGCGACTGGCAGATGGAGAGGGAAGGACCGTGAGGGGATTACCTTCCCTATGGGTCAGCTTGGAGGTAGGAGGTGCCCACGGAGAGGCAGCTAGAGCTCGAGCCGAGTAGTGGGGGAAAGGAGATGAGTAGGTGCAAAGAGTATGGTGGCACCTGGTGTTCGAAGCGGGAGAAGAAACGACAGCACTACCGCGCAAGTCGAAGAGGTTCGCTATCAGGTTGGCAAGTCAAATAGTTGGGCACCGGAGGAACTGGCAAAGCTGAGACAAACAGGAACGCTTGCAGAGTACAGGGCCGAGTTCCTTAATTTGGGGAGCCAGTGCAAGGGAGTGTCGGAGACCTTGGCGGGGCTGTGCATGGCGGGGCTGCGTCCAGAAATTGCGGCAGCGGTAAGAGATTTTGAGTCTGACTCGTTGATGTCTGCTTTCCATTTGGCAAGGCTCAAGGAGGAGGAGATTGCGAGCTGGCGGAGCATGGTCGGAAGGTTCCCGAAGTCGAGCGGGAGTAGTGGGACGGCCGTGGCGGCCAAAAATGGAGGAAGTTCCGTGGGCGGGGCTGGAACCCCCAGGGGGACAGGACCTAGGACTACTCGTGCGATAATTTGAGCGCCAACGAAGGGATTTGTTCGCTTAACTCCCGTGGAGATCAAGCAGAAGAGGAGGGAAGGGAATTGATTTAACTGCAATGAGAAGTTGGTTTTTGGGCACCAGTGCGCGAAGCCAGATATGATGATGCTTTTGGGGCATTGGGAGGATGAAGTGGATGAGGAAGAAGGCGCGGAAATAAAGGTGAAGCAGGACGAGGAGGATCAACCTTGAGGGCAAGGTTGTATTTCAAGGGGAAGAGCATGATGGGAACATTTTATGATTATTATTTAATTGTCGGTTTATTATTCGGATATTATGTTGGTTCATTATTTGGGAGGTAGTATTATGATTAGGTTATTATTTTGGGGAGTAAAGGGGATAATTGTCGATTAGTATAAGTAACAGTGTAAGTGAGGATTATGGCTAAGCTTAATAAAATTATCAAACCCTAATCCTCTCTCTCTTCCTTCTTCCCTGGCCGAGTTCTCCCTCTCTCTCTACAGGCATCGGCCGAACCCTCTCTTCCTCTCTCTACCTATTCGTTCGAAACCCTAAATCCCCATATCAATCCCCAAATGATCTAATCTCATTCCCAAATCCCCCGCCATAATCGCACCCTAGATCCTGGGGTCTATCATCTTGGAACGAATGGTAGAACCCGCCGTCGCGAAATTAGCGTCGTGGGTAAAATTGTTGCTGACCGTGTCCAGGAACACACTCGATACGATGGAAAACGCAGTTCCTGTGCTGCAATTTGCAAAAATTACCATCGTTAAACACTTAGCTAAAAAAGTATTTACGGAGACTGACGTGCTGCGTGCATGTAAGTAAAACAAATATCACTTCTACTATACACTTTAAAGTATTGGTACTTTAAAGTACGATTCGAAGTTGTATCATAACGTTAAATGTACAAATTGAAGTTGTACCATAAGGGAATTTGACGTTTATGTTATGGTAAAATTTCAAGGTGTACCATAACCTAAAAGTACAACTTTAGTTTGTACCTTAGATGGATTTTACAAAAGAGCATAGGTACAACCTGAAATTCTACCATAAGGTTAAAGGTACAACTTCAAGTTGTACCATACAAGGAAAAATTAAAACATCAATGCTATAAAGTATTGTAAATTTCCTCATAAAATACATAGTTAAAACAAGTTGTATATACTATATTATCGAGTACATATATATTATATATATATATATATATATACCCATGAAGTCGACGATGAGACAGTGATTCGGATCTAATTGTACACTTTTGTCCCTGTTTCGCTTTGACGCTTGTTGCAATTGAACTCCAAAAAAAGGTGGTTTTACGCGAGATTTCTTGTGTTTTAGTGTGTTTCAGAGCCTAACAGACGAAACCAAACACGGAGTCGAAAATTGGAAGTAAAAGAGCAAACACAGGGCAAAGAGGAGGAGACAGCTACAGTTCACGGTCTGCCATTGGAGTTCACGGTCTTACAGGACCGTGAACTGGAGCCACAATCCCTGAACCAAGGAGCGTCCAGAGAGGGTTTTGAGGTTACTGACGCCAAGGCTGTTCACGATCGCTAAGACCGTGAACAAAAGCCACAAACCGTGAACCCCAGGATGTGAAGCATTGTGTTTTGGTTCAGACACTGTGTTCACGGACGCGTTTCAATGTTCACGGCCGTGAAATCATGCCATGAACTGGGCTCGATCTCATTTTAAAGAGAAAATAGAAAGGAAGAAGAGGGGAAGAGATATAGTGTGAGAAACTTCTCCTTCTTCAGATTTTAGAGTGAGAAAGTGATGAACCAAAAAATTGGAGAAGCTAGGGTTTCATCTCCAAGCAAGGAATTGGGAATTCCTCCCCCCAAAGGAGGATCTCTTCAACACAAGGAGCAAGGCTTTCATCTTTTTGATGGTTTTCCTTTCCCTCTCTTGTGTTTTCCCTTCTCCTAGCATGGAGTAGTCCCTTATTTCACTTGGGTATTTGTAAACCCTAGCTACAATTATGTGAATGCTTATATGAATTGAATGGTTTGTGTGTGCTTGTATTTAATGTGAATGTGGAGGCATTTTTCATGGTGATTGTGTGTGCTATGTTGACCTAGCTTATAGAGGAGACCTCCTTAGGTAAAGAGGCTCGATTAGAGATGGGTGTTCTTGGGCATTGCATGCCTCCTAGCTAGTTTAGAGAGGAAACCTCCTTTATCCAAAGAGGCTCAATTTGAGTTGGGCTTCCTTGGCCATTCAAGGCCTCCTAGACTAGTTTAGAAAGCCCCTACTTAACCTAAGAGGCTCTATTAAATATGGGTTTCCTGGGGAATTTCATGCCTCCTATTCTAGGTTAATTAAGGGCAAACCTCCTATTTAGTATTAGCACTTAGGGTTTGGTTGTGGGTGGCCGTCCAAACTCCAATTCGAGGGTGAAGTCTAACCTTTCCTTAGTCAATAGGTTGAGAGGGTTGCTTTAGAGGCTTGGATCATATCCCATTTCCTCAACCTAGAGACTAAGAGGGTAGCCTTGGCTACTTGTTAGACTTCTTTGCGGTTTATAACCCCCTAACCACACACGGTTGTTCGATTCTTCAGGTTGTAATTGTTAGCTAGGGAGAGCAACACCCGGGGTGAAGCCTTCACAATTAGTGTCAAATCCATTTTACCTTTGCAAAGTACTTTAGCTTTAGACCTTTGTTTTCACCAAAACTAACCCGCTAGATAATGTTTCAAACAGTCAAAGTAGCGGTACATGGGTTGACTCGGGTCAATATTTAAACATAATTGCCCTATATTGCACCCATCTAAGGTTTATACTTGAGCCTTAGGTGGGATTTTATTGTGATAGTCAGAGCGAGTCAAGTTTCTGGCGCTGTTGCCGGGGACTTCGATCCGTTATCGTGAAAAGATTGTTTTGTGTTAATCTAGCTTTTAATTTATGTTTTATTAATTTGTGAAGTGTTTACTTGTGCCAGACGTGTTGTGTTCTTTAAACGTGTGTAGGGAGGTGAATGACCCGGAGCAATCTGACGCCTTTAACACCACTGGACAAGGACATCAACCAAACTCTTCTACTTCTAGCTCGAGAGAGGGAGCAAGCGGAGGCAAGAAGGAGAGGTGAAGAAAGGGAACAGCAAGTTGGCCCCGGATTTGAAGGAATTGAAGGAGAAGTTGTAGTTGAGATGGCAGGAAATCATCACCGAGGTCTAATCCGCTTCCAAACCCAAATGTGGAAGTGGGAATCGAGGAAGAGTCAAGGACTATGGGCTATTACATGGCTCCACAAGCGGCGGATATCCAATCTCCTATCTTACATCCAACCGTGGCCGCCAACAACTTTGAAATCAAGTCCTCTCTCGTGACGATGATTAAAAAAATGCCTACTTCCACGGGCTTTCCCATGAATCACCATGAGAGCATGTCCGAAGGTTTATTGAGCTAGCGGGAAGCATGAAGATAATGGCCTCCTTGAGGAGGCATTGCGATTGAAGCTCTTCCCCTATTTTTTGGCAGGGAAGGCACTTCAATTGCTCAACAACCGTCCGGCTCTATCCATCACCTCTTGGGACGATCTACTCAACAAGTTCATTACCCGATATTGTCCTCCTTCCAAGACGGTTGAGTGGAGAAAAAAGATCATTCACTTTGAGCAAGAGGAGGATGAGACATTGAGGGATGGGAAAGATTCTCCGACTACTTCCTCCAATGCCCTCACCATGAATTCGAAGAGAAATTTTGGATAGAAACTTTCTATGGAGGACTTATTCAAGACGACAAGATCCTCATCGAATCTCTTTGCCAAGGGAAGTTGATGAACATGACCCCTCCTCAAGTGACTGCGTTGCTAGAGATATGGCCCTCAAGGGATATGATTGGGGCTTGATAAGAAGTGGGAAGAGAAGCACCGAAAAAGGAGTGTGAAGTGTGGGAGCAAGTGCTCCACTTGAAGCGAAGATTGACAAGTTGATCGAGGTGATCCTTGAGGACAAGAAGCAAGGGAAGAGAGCGGTGATGTCTTGTGATTGGTGTTCAAGTACTAATCATGAAATTGTAGATTTACAAGCAATGCAGGAGACAAGTACCCCCTAGGATCAAGTGAGTTTCATTGCCAATGCTAGACGGAACAACCCTTATAGCAACACCTACACCCCCGGTGGTGCAATCATCCAAACTTCGTTTGGTCTTCCCCTATCAATCCAAGACCTCCCGATTTCCAAGGCCCAACGGGAAACTATCAACCTCGACCAACCTTCATCCAAAAAAGGCCTCAATTCCAAAACTCGAACTTCCAACAACCATACCAAGCACAAGGCGGTCAAGGGTTTCAACAACAACAACAACAAGTCGACAAGTTCTCTAAGCTTGAAGACCTTGTGACCTCCTTTGTGAGTACAAGCTCTCAGAAGTTCAAGAAGATTGAGCAATTCAAGGATGTGAAAACCTCCAAGTTTACCTTGGTCGAGGCGGGACTCCG